TATCAAATCTCACTTTCTCTTCCTTATTCACTCTCTCAAGCTCACTATTCAGAGCTCCATAATTCTCTCAGAATTCCCCCATCTAGAGCTACCTGAGACTCTCACAGAGATTCACTCTTCTCTCTCTAATTCGAGCTCCCTCTTCAGAGCTCCAGAGTTCTGCTGAACTCTCCTTACCCAGCTCTACCTATTGCATTACCCGTGGATGCTATTTATAGACATATATGAGGCTTCATTTCGGTTATTAACTACCAACAAAAAAGTCTCCATATAATTGAAGCTTCCAGCTGAATTTAGTTGATCAAAATAGAAAACTGAAGGCTCCTCTTCAACAGACTTTATTCCAACAGCCTTTTCAATAGCTAAGGAATCTTCAAGGAATCACTTCCTTACAAATTGCAATACTAATTTTTAATATAATTTTTGTATTAATTTTCCTATATGTTTATATATTTGAAATGATAAACTAAGGCGAGTTTTCCAATGAATGTAGTTTAATAACCATCATTAGATTCTCTTGCTCAAAATTTGATATTTTTAGTGTGTTATAACATTATGTTTAACTTTCACTTAAATGTTTCATTTCAAAGTGGCAAGTCCCAATAAAATGGGAAATTGGTATAAACCAATTGAGTTATTGAAGACAAACCGGATAAGACTATATTATCTTTGGTTTTTGAAAAGAATTTTGTGTTGAGTTAACGGAGTTCCTGAAGGTAAGTGAATAAAATGACATTTTCCAAGATATAAAGGTGAAAATGTCAAAAAACGAAATATATGAACGTTTTGCATAAAAACATTGAAAAATAGGGACATTTTGTGCTAACTAGCCTCTTATTCCAACTCCAATTATGGATGTTCCATGGATGTAATATGTTTCTCCGTATATCTCATAATTTAGTTTACTCGTTACAGTTGAAGTAATGAAATTCAAATTTTACACATGATCATGAAAACATTTAGTGAAGCGATATGAGATCAATGATTTTTGACCTAGTTGGTGAAGTGTCAATCGAGTTAGTCTTATATCTGTAGAGCTCGAATTATGTGGATAAATGGCTTCATTAAAAAAAAAAAAAAGGGAATTTTACATTGTTAGTGGCTGATTGAACAATTAGATAGGTTATAAAGTCGATGTAGTTTTATGGATTGGCAAACAGTTTTATCCCAAAAACATCTGAAATTGTTATATTTAAGAAATAAAAACAAGTTCGTCAAAAGGTGTTCGGAATTGTACCCATATTGAGTAAAA